CCATCCCTCCATCCATCCATCCATCCATCCATCCATCCATCCATCCATCCCTCCCTCCCACCCTCCCTCCCTCCCTTATATCGGTTCATGACATCATTTAATTTGGTTTTCTCCCTCTGCCGTTTCTCTCACCATAAAACTTTCCCGTACAAGTCCAGACTTTGAATAGACGCGTATCCCTGCAGCATAGTGAGCTTCCTCGAAATCCTATCCCTGCTTCCCTCTTCTCTTCCCTCCTCCCTTCCCCTCCCCTTCTCTCTCCTCTCTTCCTCCCCTTCTCTCTCCTCCCCTCTTCTCTCTCCTCCTCCTCGTACTCGCGATCGTCGGATGTTCATACTCTTCAAGACTTCATCCTGACAGCTTGTCAAGCTTGCGCCTAATCCACTGCTCTTACCTTGGTCAGCCATCTTTCCCCGTTCTCAGGTGCCCACAGAAGCTCCAGCGACAACCTGTTCCTCTATCAGCCCTCTCTGCAGCGAACGAGGAGGAGGAGACGAAGAAGAGGTGCTGGGGGAAAGAAGGAGGGAAGAGGTGACGAGATCAGCAGGATCAGGAGCAGGTGCAAGAGCAGAAGCAGAAGCAGAAGCAGGAGCAGGAGCAGTCAGATGCTCACAAGCTATCTGCTGTCGTCCTTGCCAGCTCGCCTGTTGCAAGGGGAGGTCAAGTAGAGCTGGAAGGAAGAGAGCAGTCGCTACCTAGCGCTTCCGGCGTCCTCAAGTTGCTCATTTCCATCCTCCTGGCGATTGACAAATCCTTCTCGGCCCTCCCCAGCTGTAAAGCTCATTCAGTTCCCCGTCCCCCGCCACCTCCTGCTCCTCCTCCTCCTTGTCCCCATCCCCGTCCTTGTCCTCGTTCTCCTCGTCCTCCTCCTCGTCCTCCTCCTCGTCCTCCTCCTCGTCCTCCTCTACAAGACCCCATCTTCCTTCCTCTCTTCCGCTGACTCACTGAAGCAGTCACAATGGTGGCGATGAGATACTTGTCCTGATCGTCTTTTGTAGCGCTGGAGCTCTGCGACAGCATGACTGAAGCGAATAGAAGCGCTCACGAGGAAACGAAGAACAGAAAGACAGGGGAGAAGTAGACCATGAAAAGGGCGAGCAGGGAGGAGAGGAGGACGGAAGGGGGAGTTGGGGAACCGGGGGGAGGAAGAGGAGGAAGAGGAGGAGGAGGAGGAGGAGGAGGAGCAGCAGCAGCAGCAGCAGGATACCTCAACCGCATTCTCTCCGCTTGCTCGCTGACTCTCCACTTTCTGCATCGTTTCTCTCAAGGCATTGTTTTCCTTCCACAACTGCACAAAATGATTTTGCGACGGACGCCTACCAACCCCCCCCCCTCCGCCTCCGTTTCCCCTCCCCTCCGCTCCCCTCCCCTCCTCTCCCCTCCTCTCCCCCATCCTTTCCCTTCTCATCTCCTTCTTTTCTCTCCCCTCCTCTCCTCTCTCTGCTCTCCTACTCCACCTGACCCCCACCTCTCGCCTATCACTCGTCCCCATCAGCTTGCCCTCATCCTCTGGACTTTCTCGTCCTCCTCACCAGTCCGCTCCCTCTCACCTCCTTCACAGCCGCGTCCTCCCTTCCCACGCCCTCCGGTCGACTCTTGCCGTATCGAGTTCCTTCAAAGGCCCCAAGATCATCCCGCACCTACCAGTCCAATGAAAACAAGGAAATAATCCTCTCGCTCCCCTCCTCC